GATGGTCACTGATGGTCACTGCTGGTCACTGGTGGTCACTGATGGTCACTGCTGGTCACTGGTGGCTGCTGGGTGCCCCATTCCCACCCCATCCCCCCCAGCCCAGAGCTCCTCCTCAGCCCAATCCCGAGCCAGGGTGAAATCCCCAAATCCCAAATCCCCAAATCCCAAATCCCCAGACCCCAAATCCCCTCTTCCCTCTCCCCAGATGGCTCCCGGCCCCAATCCCGGCCCCAATCCTGGCCCCAATCCTGGCCCCAATCCTGGCCCCAATCCCGGCCCCAGTCCCGGCCCTGCAGAGCTCCCCGGGTGCTGCCAGCGGGGTCCCCCGTGCCTCAGTTTCCCCAGCTCCTAAATCCTGCTGCTCTGTGGCCACGGGCTCTCTGAATCCCAGAACCCCAGAACCCCAGAATCACAAAATCCCAGGAACCCAGAATCCCAGAATCAATTCCAGAATCCCGAAAGCCCAGAACTCCTGAATTCTGGAACCCCAAAATCCCAGAATCCCAGGATCCAAAGATGCCAGGATCCCAGACTCCTGGAATCTCAGAATCCCAGGATTCCAGAACCCCAGGAACCTCAGGAACCCAGAATCGTGGAATCCCAGAATCCCAGAACTCCTGAATTCCAGAGGCCCAAAATCCCAGAATTCCAAAACCCCGGGATCCAAGGATCCCAGGACCCCGGAACCCCAGGATCCCATAATTACAGAATCCCAGAACTCCTGAATTCCAGAACCCCCAAATCCCAGAATTCCAAAATCCCAGAATCCAAGGATCCCAGGACCCCAGGATCCTCTAACTCAGATTCCCAGGATTTACCAGGTTGGAGAAGCCCCTCAAGCCCAAGCATTCCAGGAATTCCTGGCACCCCTCCAGCCCCCCCCCCCCGAGCCCCTTCCAGGCGGGAATTTTGTGCCACAATTCCCAAATTTGCTCTCCAGAGTCAGGGATTCCTCCCGAAATCCCCGGTTCTGGAGAGGAAATTTGGGAATCGCGGCACAAGAAAAGGAACAAAGCCCCTTTGGGGAGCAGCTCCAGGGTGTGGCTGTGCCTCGGGATGTTCCTCCCCTCCAGTCCCTAATTAATCCCCTAATTAATCCCCCAATTAATCCCCTAATTCCCCAAATCTCCTGCTTTTGTCTGGCGCTTTGTTCTGGGGACAGAGGTGACACCGGGGGGACATCTGCCACTGCCCCCGGGATTAGGGCGGGACCTCGGCACTCCCTCATGGCCGATTAATCAATCCGAATTCATTAATTAATTAACCGAACCGCATTAATGAATCCCCGCATCGACAGTCGGCTGTTAACCCCAACATCTCCGGCGGGGTGCGTGGAGCCGTTCCCAGCCTGGAAAAATCCGGATTTTCCCCCTTTTTTTCCCTCCCAATCGAACCCCCCGAGTTTGGAATGTGCGTTTTCCAAATTCCCTTCCCAAAATCCCGTCCCGGGGTTGTGGAATCCTGGGATTTTGGGGGGGGGGGGGTTCCAAAATTCAGGAGTTCTGGGATTTTGGGGTTCTGGAACCCTGAGATTCTGGGATTTTGGGGTTCTGGGGTCCTGGGATCTTTGGGTTCTTGGATCTTGAGATTCTGGAATTCTGGGGGTTTTTGGGGTTTCAGGAAATTTGGGATTTTGGGGTTCTGGGCTCCTGGGATCTCTGGGTTCTTGGATCTCGAGATTCTGGAATTCTGGGGGTTTTGGGGTTCCGGAATTCTGGAATTCAGGAAATTTGGGATTTTGAGGTTCTGGGGTCCTGGGATCTTTGGGTTCTTGGATCTTGAGATTCTGGAATTCTGGGGGTTTTGGGGTTCCGGAATTCTGGAATTCTGGCATTCAGGGATTTGGGGATTTTGAGGTTCTGGGGTCCTGGGATCTTTGGATTCTTGGATTCTGGGATTATGGAATTCTGGCATTCTGGGATTTTGGGGTTCCGGAATTCTGGAATTCAGGAATTCAGGAAATTTGGGGTTTTGAGGTTCTGGGGTCCTGGGATCTTTGGATTCTTGGATCTTGAGATTCTGGAATTCTGGGGTTTTGGGGTTCCGGAATTCTGGAATCCAGGAATTCGGGGATTCTGGGATTCTGGAGTTCCAGAATTCTGGAATTCTGGGGTTTTGGGGTCCCATCCCACCCCGATCCTTCTCCCAGCTCGGACGCGGCTCCAGGATTTCATTTGGGGCTGGGGGAGGCGCAGCCGCGTCCCGGTTCCTCCTTTTTCCCGGAGGGATTCGGGATTTTGGGGGGGAGTTCGGGGCCCCCCCGGCCGCTCGCGGTCTCCTGCTGCCACCTCCCGGCCTCGGGACCGAACGGAATTCCCGGGAATTTCGCTCCCTGCCGGCTCGGGAGTGCGCGATGGGGCTGCAGCAAATCCCACAAAAACCCCGGGAACTCGGGGAGCGTTTGGGGCTGGAACGGGGAGGATTTTGGGGCTGGAACGGGGAGGATTTTGGGGCTGGAATGATGAGAATTTTGGGGCTGGAACGATGAGAATTTTGGAGCTGGAATGAGATGGATTTTGGAGGTGGAACGGGATGGATTTTGGGGCTGCAACCGGGAGGATTTTGGGGTTGGAACGAGGAGGATTTTGGGGTAGGAACAGGGATTTTGGGGCTGGAATGGGAAGGATTTTGGGGTTGGAACTGGGAGGATTTTGGGGTTGGAACGGGGAGGATTTTTGGGGTTGGAACAGGGATTTTTTGGGTTGGAAAGTGCATTTTGGGGTTGGACATTCCTCCCCAAAGCTCCCGGTCCTGCTGCTGCTGGGCTGCCCGAGCTGGGCACAGCGGAGCCATCGCGATGTCCCCAAGTGTCCCCGGCGCTCGCTGCAAAGGGAAAGCAAAACCCCCCAAAAACCCCAAAATTGCCCTGCCGGGGCCATCCAAAGGAATTCCCTCCGAGCTTTGGGGCTGCGAGCGCCGCAGCCCCGACGTGTCCTTGTCCCCTCTGCCACAGGGGCGGCCGGGGGTGCCAGCCCCCCCCGGAGGAGGAGGAGGAGGAGGAGGAGGAAGGAGCCGGGGCAGAGGAAGTCCCCGGCGGGCGCTCGCAGCCCCGAGGGGTCCCCGCTCCGCTCCGAGATGTCCCCGCGCGGGGGTCGCCGCTGTCCCCCCGCGCTGCTGGCGCTGCTGCTGGGCCTGGCCGGGAGCCGAGGTGAGGAGGGGGCGCGGGGGGCCCGGGGGCGCTGCGGGGAATTGGGGAATGGCGGGGAATTGGGGAATGGCGGGGAATTGGGGAATGGCGGGGAATTGGGGAATGGCGGGGAATTGGGGAATCGCGGGGAATTGGGGGAATCGCGGGGAGCAGCCGGAGCGGCGCTGGCCAGAGGGGCCCGGGGCATGGAGAGGGGCTGCGGCTGCGGCTTTGGGGGATTCTCCTCGCTTCTCTCAGCCCCCCCTTGGCCGGCGAGAGCCGAGCCGGGCCGGGCCCTGACGCGGGGCCGGTTCCCCTTCCTGGGCAGCGTTTCGGATGTGGAGTTTGCCTGAAAGTCGCGACTTCCCTGTCCCGACAGTTTCTGAAGCCCAGAGCTGCGACTTTTCCCTGCTCCCAAGCTCAGATCCCTCTGCCGAAGCAGCCCCGTTCGTTCTCCCGGGATTTTGGGGCAGCTGGTGGTGACCCAAGGCCTTTTTTCCCCTAAGCGCAGCGATTTTGGGCTGTGGGGAGCAGAAAACCAGCGGGATTTGGGGGCTGGATTGATCCTGGAGCATCTCCAGGCGCCTGGAGCAGCCTCTGGCCCCACCTTGGCGGCTTTGGCGTCGTTGTTTCCCTGCCAGCTCCAGCATTCGCAGAATCCCAGGACCTCTGAGGCTGGGAAAGAGCCCCGGGGTCACCGGGCCGGGACCAACCCCCGCCCGGTGCCCCAGAATTCCAGAGATTCCCCGGACACCTCCAGGGGTGCGGATCCCACCCTCCCCGCGCCCCTTCCGCCGCCTTTTCTCCGTTGCGGGAGGAATTTTCCCCAATTTCCAGCCCTGGTCCTGTCCCGTTCCCTGGGATCAGACCCCAGATCCCCCCTGGCCGATCCCAAATCCCCCCTGGGCCCCCCTTTATCTGCAGGCTGAGCCCCCCCGGCCCCCTCGGAAGAGCTGGGGACCCCCTCAGCTCCCGGAGCAGCCGGGAAGGGCAATTCCCGCGTCCTGCGGGAATTCTGGCACCTGGAGCGGGGGAAATCCCTTCCCGACCAGCGATCCCCGCTCCCGCTGCCCCAGGGAAGGATCCTCCTGCATTTCCCGGATTTCCCGAGCCCCCGGGGGCGTCCCCACACCTGCAGCTCTGCCCTGGAGCCGCTGCAGCTCCCGGACAAACTCTGGATGCAGAGAAACCCCCGGGATGGGTGGGATCGGCTCCGGGGCCATTTCGGGGCATTTGGGGCCATTTCGGGGGCATTTCGGGGGCATTTGGGGGGCCTGGGCCGTGCAAAGGAGCCCCCAGAGCCGCCCTGACCACACGGGGCCGCAGGAAGCGGCGTCGGCCCTCCGGATGTTCCGCGGGTTTTATTTTGGGGGCCTTCGACATCCGGGGCTGCTCTGAGGAGAGAAAACCGAAAATGGACGGGAAAAGGGGCAGGGGGGGAGATTCCGTGGGACTGGGAGGGCGTGGGGTGGTGAGGGGAGAGGGGAACCCCTGGGAGGGGGAACGGACCTTGAGCAGCCCGGGATAATGGAAATTTGGGATGGGGAATGGACACAGAACCGGTCTGGGATAATGGGGAGAGAGAGAGGAACCCCTGGAAAGGGGAAGGGACCTTGACCAGTCTGGGAAACTGAGAAAAGAGGGGAAAATTCGGATAAGAAATGGACCTTGACCAGTTTGGGATAATGGGGAGAAAAATGGAACTTTTGGGGTGGGGAATGGGCACAGAACCAGTTTGGGAAAACAGGGAGAGAAGGGAAATTTTGGGAATGGGGAATGGACACAGAACCAGTTTGGGATAATGGGGAGAGAAGGGAAATTTTGGGGTGGGGAATGGACACAGAACCAGTTTGGGAAAATGTGGAGGGAAGGGAAATTTTGGGAATGGGATGGGGAATGGACACAGAACCAGTTTGGGATAATGGGGAGAGAAGGGAAATTTTGGGAATGGGATGGGGAATGGACACAGAGCCAGTTTTGGATAACGGGGAGAGAGAGGAACCCCTGGAATGGGGAGCAGACCTTGACCAGTCTGGGATAATGGGGAGAGAGGGGAAATTTGGGAATGGGATGGGGAATAGATGCAGAACCAGTTTGGGATGGTGCGGAGAGAGCGGAATTTTGGGGATGGGGATGGGAAATGGGCCCTGGGGCCAGGAGTGGCCTTGGTGGACGCTGCAGGTGCAGCCCAGGGGTGGCCCCAGCAGTGCCCGCGTCCCCTCTGGGACGCTCTGGAGCCGCTCCTGGGGTCTCAGCCTCACCCAGGGCTGCCCTGGCTCTGCTTCAGGACTCCCGGAATGCCAAAATCGAGATGTGACCCTGGGAGGATCGCTGTGCCTGGTGCCGGAGCAAACCCCACAGAACTGGACAGAGATCGACTGGAAATGGGAAATTAATTCAGGATCGTTCCAGAAGATCCTGACAGTCCCCAGGGATGGAGATGCCTCCTATCCCAAAGATCCTTTCCATGGGAGAGTGAAATTCCATCGGGGGAACCTCTCCCTGTGCATCTCCCCGGTTCGCAGGGATGATAACCGGGTCTATTGGGCTGAGTTTGAGAGCAGCCAAGGGATTTCATCCCGGTGCTTCCGAGTGTCCGTGTGGGGTGAGTGGATGGGTCCTTCTGTCCCCTGTCCCTCTGTCCGGAGCTGAAATCCCAAATTCTGGAGTGGGATCGGGGCTGGTGCCGCCTGGCCCTCTGTCCCCCGTGTCCCTGTGTCCCCTGTCCCTCTGTGTCCCCATGTCCCCCTGTCCCCTCTCAGCCCCGCTGTCCCCATGTCCCTCTGTCCCCGTGTCCCTGTGTCCCTCTATCCCCGTGTCCCCGTGTCCCCCTGTCCCTGTGTCCCTCTGTGTCCCCCTGTCCCCTGTCCCTCTGTCCCCGTGTCCCTCTGTCTCCCTGTCCCCTGTCCCCGTGTCCCCGTGTCCCCTCTCAGCCCCGCTGTCCCTGTGTCCCCGTGTCCCCGTGTCCCTGTGTCCCCGTGTCCCCCTGTCCCCGTGTCCCTGTGTCCCTCTGTCTCCCTGTCCCCGTGTCCCTCTGTCCCCGTGTCCCCTCTCAGCCCCGCTGTCCCCGTGTCCCTCTGTCCCCGTGTCCCTGTGTCCCCCTGTCCCTGTGTCCCACTGTCCCTGTGTCCCCGTGTCCCCGTGTCCCCGTGTCCCCTCTCAGCCCCGCTGTCCCCGTGTCCCCCTGTCCCCTGTCCCTCTGTCCCCGTGTCCCCTCTCAGCCCCGCTGTCCCCGCAGACCCCGTCCCGCAGCCGGAGCTGAGATCCCAAATCCTGGAGCGGGAGCGGGGCTGGTGCCGCCTGGCCCTGCTCTGCTCCAGCCCCGGGAACGTCTCCTACAGCTGGGCCTGTGCCGGGGCTGGCCCGGGGCCGATCCCGGGGCCGATCCCGGGGCCGATCCCGGGGCCGATCCCGGGGAGCCCCTCCCGGCTGCTCCGGAGCCTCCCCGAGGGCGCGGAACCCCAAATCTGCCTCTGCAACGTCAGCAACCCCGCGGGGTGGAGCGCGGCCCGCGCCGCCCTCACCTGCCCAGGTGAGCTCCCCGCGGCTCCCGGGGCCGCCAGGGACCCGCCCCGGTGGGGCTGAGCAGTCCAGGCCAGAAATGGGGGAAAAGTCGTGGAAAACATTTGGTAAAAATCGAAAATATGGAAAATGTGAGCTGGAAAATATTGGGTAAAAATCTGCTGGAAAATATTAGGTAAAAATAAAAAATATGGAAAATATTAGGTAAAAATCTGCTGGAAAATATTAGGTAAAAATAAAAAATACGGAAAATATTAGGTAAAAATCATCTGGAAAATATTAAGTAAAAATAAAAAATATGGAAAATATTAGGTAAAAGTCTGTTGGCAAATATTAGGTAAAAATCAAAAATATGGAAAATATGTTGTAAAATTCTGCTGGAAAATATTAGGTAAAAACCTGTTGGAAAATATCAGGTAAAAATCATGTATATAGACGTAAATGATATAATTTCTAATTTAATTTTTGTGTGCAATATACATAATTTTTCTGTGTATGTGTTCTGTGTAAAATCTATACTGATGTACATAAAATCAATTCATATATAAAAGATATACTTACATATATAACATATACCAATTTATATAGTACATTTATTTGTATAAATAATTTATACTTATTTTTGTATATAAATATACTTTATATAGATATAAAATGTACTTATTTGTATATATAAATCCATATTTATTCTCCTGTAACATACTTATTTATCTGTAAAAAATGGACATTCATCTGTATAAAATCGACATGTATTTTTATATATGTACTTATCTATATATATAATTGTACTTATTTATTATTATTTATTATTTATACTTATTGAATATTATTTTTAAAGCTGTATTCGTTTACATATAAAACATAAAGGTATTTTTATACCTTTAATCCATAATTTTCTTACACATTTTTAATTCATTATAAGGCAAAAATATCCATTTAAAAATTCGGGGAATCCTGGGACGTTTCGGGTGGGAAGAGACCCCCAAATCCCAGCTCAGTTCCAGGATTCTGGGATTCTTTTCCAGTCATTCCAGAGAATTTCAGCGACTGGACCCTGCTGGCCGTGGCCGTGGCCGGGGCCGTGGGGCTGGCCCTGCTCCTCGTGGGCTTCTGCTGCTGCTGGAGGAAGAGGAGGAAGAATTCCCGGGAAGGTTTGTCCGGAATGCGGGGGCACGATCCCAAATTTGGGGGGGGTCCGACCCCAAACCGACCCTTGGGACCCCAAAATCTGGGAGTTCTGAGCCCAAACTGACCCTTGGAACCCCAGTTTGGGAATTCTGACCCCAAACCGACCCTTGGAACCCCAGTTTGGGGATTCTGACCCTAAACTGACCCTTGGAATCCAAATTTTGGAATTCTGACCCCAAACTGACCCTTGGAACCCCAAATTTGGGAATTCTGACCCTAAACTGACCCTTGGAACCCCAATTTGGGGATTCTGACCCCAAACCGACCCTTGGAACTCCAAATTTGGGAATTCTGACCCCAAACCGACCCTTGGAACCCCAAATTTGGGAATTCTGACCCCAAACCGACCCTTGGAACCCCAAATTTGGGAATTCTGACCCTAAACTGACCCTTGGAATCCAAATTTTGGAATTCTGACCTCAAACCGACCCTTGGAACCCCAGTTTGGGAATTCTGACCCCAAACCGACCCTTGGGACCCAAAAATCTGGGAGTTCTGAGCCCAAACCAACCCTTGGAACCCCAATTTGGGGATTCTGACCCCAAACTGACCCTTGGAACCCCAAATTTGGGAATTCTGACCCTAAACTGACCCTTGGAACCCCAAATTTGGGGATTCTGACCCCAAACCGACCCTTGGGACCCCAAATTTGGGAATTCTGACCCCAAACCGACCCTTGGAACCCCAGTTTGGGGATTCTGACCCTAAACTGACCCTTGGAATCCAAATTTTGGAATTCTGACCCCAAACCAACCCTTGGAACCCCAGTTTGGGAATTCTGACCACAAACCAACCCTTGGAACCCCAATTTGGAAATTCTGACCCCAAACCGACCCTTGGAACCCCAAATTTGGGGATTCTGACCCCAAACCGACCCTTGGAACCCCAGTTTGGGAATTCTGACCCCAAACTGACCCTTGGAACCCCAAATTTGGGAATTCTGACCCCAAACCGACCCTTGGATCCCCAATTTGGGGATTCTGGCCCCGCAGGGAGCCCCGGAACGCCCCCGGAGCAGGCGCTGACCATCTACGCCGAGGTGGGAGAGAAGAAACCCCGCCAGGACCCCGTGAGTGCCGGGATTGACCCTTCCCGCCCCAAATCTGGGAATTTTGGGGTCGGGAACCCCCCCGAGGTCACCGAGGCCGCCCTGGGGCTGAGGCCAGCCTGGTCACTCAGCGTCCGGTCACTCCTCGGACACCCCCAGGACCGGGAACCCAAACCTCGGGCGGTTCCACGGCCGGACCGCGCTCCCGATGGGGAAATCCCCTCTGGGTGGGAATTTTGGGAACCCCAGGTTGATCCTTTCAACCGTTCCTGGCTTTTTGTGTGTCCCCAGGCCAGGACGGGCGAGGCCACCCAGGATGGAGCCACCATCTACGCCGTGGTCACTCCCAGGACACTGGTAGGGTCATCCCCATGGGATCCCAGGGATCGCCAGGCTGGATCCATTTTTAATTCCAAAATTCCCGATTTTTTATCCCCAAAATTTCCCACTTTTTGTCCCAAAATTTCCCATTCTTTATCCCAAAATTTCCCATTTGTTATCCCCAAAATTTCCCACTTTTTATCCTCCAAATTTCCCTTTCTTTATCCCCAAAATTTCCCAATTTGTATCCCCCAAATTTCCCAATTTTTATCCCCAAAATTTCCCATTTTTAATCCCCAAAATTTCCCACTTTTTATCCCCAAAATTTCGCAATTTTTATCCCCCAAATTTCCCAATTTTTATCCCCCAAATTTCCCATTCTTTATCCCAAAATTTCCCATTTTTTATCCCCCAAATTTCCCAATTTTTATCCCCCAAATTTCCCATTTTTTACCCCCAAATTTCCCATTTGTTAATCCCCAAATTTTCCCATTTGTTATCCCCAAAATTTCCCATTTTTTGCACATTCTGACCCTTTTTTCCCCCCAGGAGCACCCCAGGCACCAGGAGGAACCCGGGAATTTCACCATTTACTCCACGGTCCAGTTCGACCGGAGGGTGAGGCTGTCCTGGAGCGTCCCCAAGCCCTGGGGACACCAAATCCGTGTCCCCCCGAGGTTCTGGGATCCCAATTTCCCCCCCTTTTTCCCCACAGCCTTCATCCATCAAGAGGAAGAGGCTGAACCGATCTTTGGTCTCCACCGCCTACTTGGAGGTAACGGAAAATCCATCAGGGTTTTTGGGATCCAGAAACTGCCCCAAAATGCCCCAAAATGCCCCAAATCTGTTTCCTTGCAGGATAACGGGGGTTACAGGCGCTTGGGCTTCCCAAACCCCGCCGGCCACCAGCGCCCCTGAAACCCCGGAATTCCCATTCCCCGTGGAATTCTCCTCCTGGAAACTCCAGCGGCCACTGGGATCCATGGGACAGGAATATCCAGAAATTCGGGGTTTTTCCCCCAAAGATTCAACCCCCAGCTGCGCCTTGGAGCGAAGATTTGGGGATGGAAAACTCCGGAAGGGATGGATTTGGGATTGGGCCGGGGTGGGAATTCTGTGGGGTTTTTAAGGGTTTGGAAATTTGGGAATTCTTTTTTTTTTTTTTTTTAATTTTCTTGGTGAAGAGCTTGAAGAGGTTTGGGTTCACCAATCTGAGTTTTTGGCCAACGCACCAATTTTGGGGTGGGTTTGGTGCTGGGAGTTGTTTGCTCATTTCCTGCTCAGAGATCTGGACTAGGAGGAGGAGGAGGGCAAAAAAAGGCTCAAAACTTTAAAAGGTATTAAAACAATCTTTATTTACTGTTAAAATACTTTTTTTATTTACTGTTAAAATACTTTTTTTTATTTACTGTTAAAATACTTTATTTACTGTTGAAAATAAAATAATAGGAAAATCAGAATATTTGGGTTTGGATTGCTTATTCCCCACGCCCTCACCGCCATTTTTTCTTTCCCACTGACAACATAAAGAGACAAAACCTGAGACTTTCAGCCAGTTTATAAACTCAAAAAAATCTTTCTTCATCTCTCTTGGGTAGAGGAGTCTCTCCTGCCGTGCCATGGGAAACAGTTCTTTCCTGGCTTTTAATTTTAATTTTAATTTCCATGAAACGAACAAAGTCCATTTTAATGTTACAGATACACAATATCGGCTTTTAATGTTATAGATACACAATATCGGCTTTTAATGTTATCGATACACAATACTGGCTTTTAATGTTATTGATACAAATATTGGCTTTTAATGTTATTGATACAAATATTGGCTTTTTGCAAATGTTAAAATGGATTCTATATGTGTGATGTTAAACAGTGCCGGGGCAGGGGAAGGGAACTATGGGGATGTCATAGATACAAATTATATATGTAAATATAATGTTATAGATATATAATATTGGCTTTTAATGTTACAGATATATAATATTGGCTTTTAATGTTACAGATACATAATACTGGCTTTTCGCAAATGTTAAATGGATTCTTTATGTGTGATGTTAAACAATGATGGGGTGGGGTAAGGGAGCTATGGGGATGTCATAGATACAAATTATATATGTAAATATAATGTTATAGATACATAATATTGGCTGTTAATGTTACAGATATATAATATTGGCTTTTAATGTTACAGATACATAATATTGGCTTTTTGCAAATGTTAAGATGGGTTCTATATGTGTGATGTTAATGTAACTTTGTTATAAAGATGTATACGAATTTGTGTAAAGATGTTAAAAAGGTATTTTTGTTTCTGCTGTTAATTAAGCTCAGGGAAATAGCTGATACAAGTGTGCTTGCGTTAAAGTGCCTGCTTGGGCGGGATAACAGCCAGTGCACGCGGGACGAGCACACCTGGACAGATGTGCCAGCCATCGGGACGAGCACACCTGGACAGATGTGCCAGCCATCGGGATGAGCACACCTGGACAGATGTGCCAACCATGGGGATGAGCACAACTGGACAGATGTGCCAACCATCGGGACGAGCACAACTGGACAGATGTGCCAGCCATCGGGATGAGCACACCTGGACAGATGTGCCAACCATCGGGATGAGCACACCTGGACAGATGTGCCAGCCATCGGGATGAGCACACCTGGACAGATGCGCCAACCATTGGGATGAGCACACCTGGACAGATGTGCCAACCATCGGGATGAGCGCACCTGGACAGATGTGCCAGCCATCGGGATGAGCACACCTGGACAGATGTGCCAACCATCGGGATGAGCGCACCTGGACAGATGTGCCAACCATGGGGATGAGCACACCTGGACAGATGTGCCAACCATCGGGATGAGCACACCTGGACAGATGCGCCAACCATCGGGACGAGCACACCTGGACAGATGTGCCAGCCATCGGGATGAGCACACCTGGACAGATGTGCCAGCCATGGGGATGAGCACACCTGGACAGATGTGCCAACCATTGGCGCTCACCCCCTGAAGGCAGAGCGGGCCAGGGCCCAGGAACTGGAGGGGATCAGAATGGACTAAAGAGCCAAGAAAATGCACGCTCTAAAAAGGGAGACCCCAGGAGAGGCCACGTAAAGCAGCTCCTGGAAAATGTAAACTAATTTATGGGTATGCATCGGGGTCTATGAATATGCAACAGGCTGGTGTAATCAAAAGGTGTTTGTGGGGTATCCCAAGGATAACAGTGCCCTTGGCTGATGCCATAACAGCCTTTGCTCTGTGGTCCCTGTCTCCTATTGTCCTTTATCAAAAACTTCTTAAACTTTCACCGGGGAGTGGGCGTGTTTCGCACAGGGAGAACAGAGGCCACCTAGACAAGAAACCACCATAAACCTCCCACCGCCATCAGGCACCAGGCAGGGAGGGCATTGCCATGGGGCCATGATTTCTGACACCTGGCTGCTCCCAAACCCTGCCCTGCACCAGCCCGGGCCTGAAAAATGCACGTATTGTATGGTCGGCTTCTCGGAAATATGAAAATGAATATTGTATGTGTTGTGTTAGAAAGTGATGCTGTATTCATTCTCTTAAGTACTGTGTTAAATGTAGTTTTAGGTTATAAAAATTGTTAAAATAGAAACTGTGCTGTGTAGGATTCTTTTTTTAAAGAAAGGACTCACAGCGAGATAGCAGCCACAGGACACCTGAATCTTTCAGAGAACAAGAATTTATTGCTCCATTATCAGGAGAAATGAACTTCTTCCTGCCTCAAAGGCGCTGTCAGGATTCGGAGGTAGAAATTGGCAGTGACCAGACAGAATCCTGTATTTTAATGGAATTTATGCATCATGCATGAGGTGTATGAATATGCAACAGGCCATTGCTTTTAAGGGTTAATCCTCTGTTAATCTGTGTCCTTTTTTTGGGCTTATTTTGCCCAGAAAGAGGTACCTGGACCGTCACTAACTCTTTGTTTTTATTGTCTCATATTGTCCTAATCCAAATTGTCCAAACTATTATCACTCCAATCGTATTACTCTTTTTATAACCATTTTATTACTATTAAACTTTTACAACGCTGCAAACAACCGGCTGGCGTTTTTCACAGCGGGCTGGGCTGGGGCAGGACAAGATTCTGCCACGTTTGGGATTCACCTCAACCAGAGGAGCCGTCGGTGACCATCCGGGCCAGGCACGAGCCCTTTCCGTGCTTTCATCCTCCCTCAAGTGAGAGAAAAGAACAAACTCCAGGCACTGCAGAGCAGCACGTGGAGGCTCCTTGCCCGCGTCCGGCCCTCGTTTGACCGCCCCACGCCGCTCCGGCCATGCCGGCCACGCCGCTCGCCGCGGAGAGCTCCCTCTGATTGCTCTGGGGGTGCTCAGGGATCCCCAAAGGATCCCCCGGGATCAGCGGCGATTCCAGTCAGGAACAGATCCCAGGGAGGCTCTGGGGGTGCTCAGGGGGTTCCCAAAGGATTCCCCAGGATCCCTGAAGGATTCCCCCAGGATTCTCAAAGGATCCCCCAGGATCAGCGGCGATTCCAGCATGGAACGGATCCCAGGGAGGCTCTGGGGGTGCTCAGGGATCCCCGAAGGATTCCCCAGGATTCTCAAAGGATTCCCCCAGGATCAGCAGTGATTCCAGCATGGAATGGATCCCGTGGAGGCTCTGGGGCTGCTCAGGGATCCCCAAAGGATTCCCCCGAGATTCCCAAAGGATTCCCCAGGATCCCCAAAGGATTCCCCCAGGATCAGCAGTGATTCCAGCATGGAATGGATCCCGTGGAGGCTCTGGGGCTGCTCAGGGATCCCCAAAGGATTCCCCCGAGATCCCCAAAGGATTCCCCCAGGACCAGCAGTGATTCCAGTCAGGAACAGATCCCAGAGAGGCTCTGGAGTTGTTCAGGGATCCCAGAAGGATTCCCCAGGATTCTCAAAGGATTCCCCCAGGATCAGCGGCGATTCCAGCAAGGAATGGATCCCGTGGAGGCTCTGGGGCTGCTCAGGGATCCCCAAAGGATTCCCCCAGGATCAGCGGCAATTCCAGTCCGGAACAGATCCCAGGGAGGCTCTGGGGCTGCTCAGGGATCCCCAAAGGATTCCCCTGAAATTCCCAAAGGATCCCCCAGGATCCCCAAAGGATCCCTCTGGGGATCAGCAGCGATTCCAGCCAGGAAGGGATCCCAGGGAGGCTCTGGAGCTGGTCAGGGATCCCCAAAGGATTCCCCAGGATCCCAAAGGATTCCCCCAGGATCAGCGGCAATTCCAGCAAGGAATGGATCCCGTGGAGGCTCTGGGGTTGCTCAGGGATCCCCAAAGGATCCCCCCAGGATCCCCAAAGGATTCCCCCAGGATCAGCGGTGATTCCAGTCAGGAACGGATCCCAGAGAGGCTCTGGAGTTGTTCAGGGATCCCCGAAGGATTCCCCAGGATTCTCAAAGGATCCCCCAGGATCAGCAGTGATTCCAGTCAGGAATGGATCCCGTGGAGGCTCTGGGGCTGCTCAGGGATCCCCAGAGGATTCCCCCGAGATCCCCAAAGGATTCCCCCAGGACCAGCAGCGATTCCAGCCAGGAAGGGATCCCAGGGAGGCTCAGACCACGGGAAGGGTCACGCTGGCATAAACCGTCGTGGGCTCCTTGGAGGGGACAAAAGCGGGGACACAAAGGGGTCGGCGAGGTGGCTGGGCCGGGGGTGCCCCGCGGGGGGGGCGTTGGGGACAGTCCCCCTTACCTGGGACAGAGGGGAGCGTCCCCGCAGGGTTGGGGACCGGGCTGGGGACCGGGGGGCTCCGTCAGGGGCCGGGGGCGGCCCGGTGGCCGCGGCGTAGATGGTGGTGCAGGACGGGGGGGCGGCGCTGGGGGCGGCCCCTTTGGGCCTCTGAGGGAGGGGACAAAGGGTGGGCAGCGACCCCCGGGTCCCCACGGAAAAGGGGGAAAATCCCGGAGTTTGTCCCCAAAGCCACCGTGGGACGCGGGGCACTCGGCAAGTTGCGTCACTCGGCTTTGTCCCCGAGATTCCCAAATTCCCGCTGGGCTGGGCAGCAGGGATGGATGACCCCTCCCCAATGACGCCCTTTCCTTTTCCCCCCTTTTCCCCCTTTCTCCCCCTTTTCCTTCCTCAATCCCCTTTTTGCCCTTCCTCCCTTTTTTATATTTTCCTCCCCTCTCCCCCTTTTTTCCCCTTTTCTTTGCCCTATCCCCCATACTTTCTCTCCCCTTTTTCCCCATTTCCCCCCTTTTCTCCATTTCCCCCCATTTTTCCCCTTTTCCCCCCATTTTCCCCCTTTCCCCCCATTTCCCCCCCCCCTTTTCCCCTTTTTCCCCATTTCCCCCCCCTTTTCCCCATATTCCCCCCATTTCCCTCTCACCTGCACCCGCTGCACCTGGGCGTAGATGGTGGCGCTGGCCGGGGTGACCTGGGCGGGGTCCGGGGTGACCTGGGCGGGGTCTGGGCCACCTGTGGGGTGGGGAGGCGTCACACAATCCCGGGATCAGCCAGGTTGGAAAAGAATCCCAAGGCTTTCGAGTGCGAGCGGTGTCCGGCTCCCCCTTGGTCATCCCAAGGAATCTCCAGGAATTCCTCGGACACTCCGAAGCTCCCTGAGCCCCTTCCAAGCCCTTTTCCCTTTTCCAGGAGGAATCTTCCCAAATTTCCAGCCCTGGCACGGCTTGAGGCCATTCCCTCTTGTCCTGCCCCAATCCCTGGGATCAGATCCCAAATCCCCCCTGGCTGATCCCAAAACCCCCCTGGATTCCCCTTTTCTCCAGGCTGAGTGCCCCCAGCTCCCTCAGGAATTCTCCTTCCAGGATTTTCTCTGCCAGGAGCTCGTCCTGGGTCCCTCGGGGCTGAGCTGGGAGAGGATCCCAGTGATCCCAGCGATCCCAGCGATCCCAGTGACCCCAGCGATCCCAGCGATCCCAGCGATCCCAGCAATCCCAGCAATCCCAGTGATCCCAGCGATCCCAGTGATCCCAGTGATTCCAGTGATCCCAGTGATCCCAGTGATCCCAGCGATCCCAGTGATCCCAGTGATCCCAGTGATCCCAGTGATCCTAGCAATCCCAGCGATCCCAGCGATCCCAGCGATCCCAGCGATCCCAGTGATCCCAGTGATCCCAGTGATCCTAGCAATCCCAGTGATCCCAGCGATCCCAGCGATCCCAGCGATCCCAGTGATCCCAGTGATCCCAGTGATCCTAGCAATCCCAGTGATCCCAGTGATCCTAGCAATCCCAGTGATCCCAGCGATCCCAGCGATCCCAGCGATCCCAGTGATCCCAGCGATCCCAGTGATCCTAGCAATCCCAGTGATCCCAGTGATCCTAGCAATCCCAGTGATCCCAGCGATCCCAGTGACCCCAGTGATCCCAGTGATCCCAGCGATCCCAGCAATCCCAGTGATCCCAGCGATCCCAGTGACCCCAGTGATCCCAGCGATCCCAGTGATCCCAGCAATCCCAGCGATCCCAGCGATCCCGGCGATCCCAGTGATCCCAGCGATCCCAGCGATCCCAGTGACCCCAGTGATCCCAGTGATCCCAGTGATCCCAGCGATCCCAGTGATCCCAGTGATCCCAGTGATCCCAGTGATCCCAGTCCCATCTCCTGTCCCTCAGGTGGCCGCATGGGGACTGGTCACAGCCTGGGCTCGATGACCTTGGAATTCTTTCCCAACCTCTGGAATTTTGGGGGTCCCCACCCGGTCCAGGACCCCCCAAACTCACATTTGGCCGAGCGGGTGGCCCTGCAGGTGACAATGACCACGATGGCGAGGATGATGATGATGACACTGGGCACCACCAGAGGGACCAGGAGCTCTGTCCTCACCCCACGGACATCTGGGACAGGAGGGGACACTCAGGGGAGGTGGCCCCGGGTCACCCAGAGCCCTTTGTCTCCTCTGTCACCTGATTTTTGGGGGCTGATTTTTGTCACTTTCTCCCCTGACTTTGGGGTGGATTTTTGTCACCACTGTACCCTAATTTTGGGTATGAATTTTGTCACTTTGTCACCGGATTCGGGGGCTGATTTTGTCACCTCTGTCACCTGATTTGGGGTTGATTTGAACAGGAAGCAAAGGGCAGGAAATGGCTCTGAGCTCTCTTTATTTGCCTTATTTGAGCTAAAAACCCTCTGGAGGCTGGATGTGGGATCAGAAAAAAACCTAAAATCTCCCTGGTGGCTTTAAGGGGGCTTGAGGGACAGAAACATCTTGAGTGTTCATAGAAATATCTCCAATATCTGTAAAAATCTCCTGTCTAAAGGGGGATCCCATTAATCCATAGGAATATCTCAAATATCCTTAGAAATCTCTCGAATTCCCCCCACAAATATCGCAAATTTCTGCCCAAATCCACCAAGTTCCCACCATCTGGACACCTCCAGAGCTTCCTTCCCACCCCAGAACCCTGGGATTCTGAGGTTCTGGAATTCTGGGATTCTGGGGTTCCAGGATTACGGGGTTCTGGGGTTCTGGGGTGCTGGGGTTCTGGAATTCCAGGATTCCGGGGTTCTATGATTCTGGAATTCCAGGATTCTGGGATTCTGGGATTCCAGAATTCCGGGATTCCGGGATTCCAGAATTCCGGGATTCTGGGATTCTGGGGTTCCAGAATTCTGGGATTCTGGGGTACTGGGGTTCTGGAATTCCAGGATTCTGGGGTTCTATGATTCTGGGATTCCAGAATTCCAGGATTACAGGGTTCTGAGGATTCTAGGACTCCATGGTTCTGGGATTCTGGGGTTCTGGAATTTCGGGCTTCTGGGATTCCATGATCCTGGAATTCCAGGATTCAGGGGTTCCGGGATCCCAGGGTTCCAGAAGAATCCCAGGATTCTAGCGTTCCAAGATTCTGGGATTCCAGAATTCCAGGATTCCGGGGTTCCGGGATTCTGGGGTTCCACGATTCTGGGATTCTGGCGTTCCGGAATTCCGGGCTTCCGGGATTCCATGATTCTGGGGTTCCAGGATTCCTGGATTCCTGGCTCCCGGGACCTACCCCTGTGCTGGGATCCGCACTGGGCGGCGTCGAAGGCGGCGCGGCCGCGGCTGACGCGGTTCTGGGCGGTGCAGACGCAGCCGAAGGCCGCGCTCCGCAGCGGGAACGAGAGCGCCAGGACGCTGCCGTTGGCCCGGCAGAGCCCCCCGGTGCCGTTGTCCCGGCTGTCCCAGCTGTCCCAGCTGTAGGAAACCTCGTCCCCCCCGCTCCGAGGAGCAGCTCAGCTCCAGCCAGCAGCTCCCGTTGGACAATTCCCGGGCCAGGATCCGGATGCTGGGATCGGCCACGCGCTCTGGGGAGAGACGAGAATGCCGGGATTTGCGATTGGAGGGCGCTGGTTTCCACCTCCTTTCTTTCTTTCTTTCCCAGACCTGCTCCCAAAAGGCTGAGAACACCCAGGAAAAACAACCAGGAACATCCAGGAAAACAGCAGGAAATTCCAGGAAAAGGCTGGGAATGTCCAACAAAAAAAGCCGGGATATTCCGGCAAAAAAGCTGGGATTGAGCTCCAGCTCTGGAAAAAGGAGAAATGGAAATTCCAGGATTTTTTGGACATCGAAGTGAGTGTTTCCCACCCCCTTGATCACCACCCAGACCTGCTCCCAAAATGCCAGAATCATCCAGAAAAGGCCTGGAACACTCAGGAAAGGCCTGGAACATGCAGGAAAAGGCCTGGAACACTCAGGAAAGGCCTGGAACATGCAGGAAAGGCCTGGAACACGCAGGAAAGGCCTGGAACACTCAGGAAAAGGCCTGGAACACGCAGGAAAGGCCTGGAACACTCAGGAAAAGGCCTGGAACATGCAGGAAAGGCCTGGAACATGCAGGAAAGGCCTGGACATGCAGGAAAGGCCTGGAACACGCAGGAAAGGCCTGGACATGCAGGAAAGGCCTGGAACATCCAGAAAAGGCCTGGAACACTCAGGAAAAGGTCTGGAACATACAGGAAAGGCCTGGAACATCCAGGAAAGGCCTGGAACATGCAGGAAAGGCCTGGAGCACACAGGAAAGGCCTGGAACACTCAGGAAAAGGCCTGGAACACGCAGGAAAAGGTCTGGAACACCCAGGAAAAAGCTGGGATCACCATCCTGGGGATTCCCAGGGGATTTTTTTACCAAGCACTTCCAGCTGGATCTGCCAGACCTCCTCCTCCGAGCCAGTGTAGACGCTGTACTCGTAGAGCCGCCCGTCGTCCCGGCTGGTGTTGAGGATTTCCAGGGAAAAGTTCTGCCTGTGGAAGCGCAGCCGCCCCGGCTCGAACTCCACGGGGCTCCCGCCCGAAACCCTCAGCAGGAGTTTCTTCTTGAGCGGCTTCCCGGTGATTTTTTTCCAGGAGGCTTCCCCGAATTTCTCGGTGCGGTTCTGCAGCTCGCGGGGCACCCGCAGCTGCGTCGCCTCCCCCAGAACCCCCAGCTGCGTTTCCCTGGCGCCGATCCCTGGGAAGAGGGCAGGGAGAAGGGTTGAGGCTCCCGGGGATCGTCCTCATCCCAGTCCTGGAGGAATCCTCTGGGATCGGGTCAGGGGTGGCGCTGGATCCAGCCTGGTGAGCCACAGAACCCCAGATCCACGGGAGAAACCTCCAGGTCCAAGGGAGAGACCCCAAATCCAAAGGGAAAGACCCCAAATCCAAAGGAGAGACCCTAAATCCAAAGGAGAGACCCCAAATCCAAAGGTGAGACCCCAAATCAAAGGGAAAGACCCCAAATCCAAAGGTGAGACCCCAAATCCAAAGGGAAAGACCCCAAATCCAAAGGTGAGACCGCAAATCAAAGGGAAAGACCCCAAATCAAAGGGAAAGACCCCAAATCCAAAGGTGAGACCCTAAATCCAAAGGGAAAGACCCCAAATCAAAGGGAAAGACCCCAAATCAAAGGTGAGACCCTAAATCCAAAGGTGAGACCCTAAATCCAAAGGAGAGACCCTAAATCTAAAGGAGAGACCCTAAATCCAAAGGAATCTCTTTCCCAACTTCAACCATCCTGGAATTTTGGGAATTGCAGCCGCCTGGGAGCAGGCTCGGGTACAAATCCCACATTTCCTTCTGGCTGAGGTGGTCCCAGGTTGGGGTTTTTTTTGAGAAAAAAATTGAGGGGTTTCATCTCCCACAGCCCGGGATTCCTGTGGGAGAATTCTTCCCCCCAAACCCCTTTGTTGTTTTTTATTCCAAGCCAATGATTCAGAATTTCCTCGATTTAGATTTTCCTCGACTCAGATTTTCCCTCATTTCTGGGTAAACAAATTTTGTTTTTGCAGGAAATTGTGAGAGGAGGAGGAGGAGGAGGAGGAGGAGCCAAATCTGGAGCTCCCAAAAGCAGAGAAGGGCCCCCATTGCGCCACCCTCACTTTTCCCAAAGCCTTTTTTCCATGGGTTTTGGCCCAAAAAGGAGAGAAAAAAGGAAAGAAAGAAAAAAGGAAGAAAAAAGGAAGAAAAAAGGAAGAAAAAAAGGAAGAAAAAAGGAAGAAAAAAAGGAAGAAAAAAGGAAGAAAAAAAGGAAGAAAAAAGGAAGAAAAAAGGGAGAAAAAAGGGAGGAAAAGGGAAACGGCCTCCTGCTAGTGGAACCTGGAATTTCAGCCGGAAGTCTGGAGGCAATTTTGGCTCTCCAGACCCCCCCAAAACCAGGGATCGGCCCCATTTTCATGGAAGTTGTCCCATGGCGAAGGGTTGGGAGCCGGCGATCCTCAAGGTCCTTCCAGCCCAAACCATTCCATGATTTTATTCCTTGGGAATCTCCCAGCCCAGAGATCTGAGCCAATCCTCCGGGAATCTTCCTCTGGAACACCCCAGCTCCCTCTGGCACTGAAATAATCCCTCAGGGCTCTCAGAACCCCGTTAAAATTCACCCAAATCCTTCACTTTTCCAGCTGATTTTTGTCCACCACATTCGAATCCCGTCCTCCCTTCGGGAGACTTTTGGGGACGCTCCTCACATCCCACCCGGACCACCTCCACCCCAAAGCCCCAAACCCCTTCAGATCCACCCCAAAAAACCACCAAAATCCAGAAAAAGCCACCCAAAACCCCCCCAAAAAAATCTGTGAGCAAACCCCACGTACCCCCAAGAGCTGCGAGGGTGAGGAGCAGCCGGAGCCAGGCCCCGGAGCCCATCCCGGGATCACGGAGCCTCCGCTGCTCCGGGGCTCGGAGCAGGTGCTGACAGGAAGAACTTCAGCCCCAGGCCTCTCATTTCCTGTTCTGTGAGGCTGATTGAGTCAAAACTTTGCCTTTTATCCCCTTTGCTCGGAAATTATTCAAAGCGTGGGGTTATGCTCCCATGCCCCAGAGATGAAATAGGAAAAAAGCAGAAGAAAGCAGAAAATGGGTTTGGTTTTTCCGCCAGAATTCCATCATCCCGCTGAGGGGTCCTCAGGCTGCTCTGAAAAAAAGGAGGAAAAATCCGGTTTTGGAGGAATTTAATGGATTTTTCCAGCTCTGGAGAGGGGGAAGTTTCAAAGCGATCCCACTAAGGGATGTGGGCGATTCCTCGGAGCATCCCAAAATCTGCTCCATCCCCCCAGGGGTGGGACCGCCCAGAAAGGTGAGAAATCCCCAAATTTCCCAGGAAAATCCCAGCTTGGAGCTCCATGGGAGCCACAGAAGGAGGAGAAGGACGGGAGAGCCCCAGAAACTCACCTGGGAGAAGCCAAATCCTCGTTCCGGGTGAATTTGGGTGGATTTGGGATCAGCTGGGGATGGGGATGGTCCTTCCTGGTGGAATGGATGGGAGAGGCCGGAAAAAACCCAGTCATGGATCTGCTGCTGGAAAATCTCCACTGGTTTTGGTGGAACAGCTTTGAAATCCGAGGTTTTTGCCTTTTTCTTTCTCCAGATTTCACCGCTTGTCCCGATTTTCAGGGTGTGGATGGAGAGGGAATTCCAGGATCCCTGAGGCTGGAGAAGAGCTCCAGGATCCAGCAATCCAAGATGCCACCAGCTCCCACCTTGCTGTTCCACGGACACCTCCAGGGATGAAAATCCCAGGATTTTAACCCAAATCCAATCCCAGGACTGGGTCACGTCCCGCTGCTTCCCAGGGAAGCCCAGCTCAGAGTTTCCCCCGAGGTTTTGCTGCCGGGAAATGATTTTTGAATGACAAAAAAAACCCCAAAACCACCCAGAAAAACCCACCCGGAACCTCCTGGGAGGCTCCTCCTCCTTCCTTGCTCAGAAAGCACCTGATAGGTAAAACCCCAGAGCCACCATTTCTCAAAAATCAGACTTTTACAGAAAAAATACAGATGGGGAATCGCAGGATGAATTAATCCAGGAAAAGCAGCGGTGGTTCTCCTGGAAACTTCTGGAATGGGAGCTTGGAAGGATTTTGGGGTGTCAAAGTCATTGGTTATGGGGTGTTTGGGGCTATTTTGGGGTTTTTGAGGGTATTTCGGGGTGTTTTGGGGTGTTTTTAGAGGCACAAATCCCACCTGGAATTCCCACGGCCAGGCTGGATTTCTCCACGGATTTCTCCACCAGTTCAACCCCCAGGTCCCAAAAGGAAAATTTTCAACCTGGAAATGGCCAAGAAAAGCCAAAAAAATCCCCCCAAAAAATCCAATTTTCCCCCTCTGGGCTTGGCTGGCATCGGGCAGGGGAAAATTAATGAAGTGAAATCATCCAGAGGAAAATTCCTTTCGGGAAGCATTTTTGGGAACAAGGAACTAGAAATGGCGGGAAAAACCTCTTTTAAGTGGAAACAATGATCCCAAATCCTTTCTTCTCCTTCCCATCAGCTCATCCTGGAATTTTCTGGCTGGAAACTCAGCAGCAGGATCAATGTTTATTAATTTCCAGAGGTTTTTTTTTTTGGATATGCTGGATTTTATTAGTGGAATAAAAGCTCGAAATCTCCACAAGGGAATGGAACCCCAGAAAAATATTTCCAAGGGGTTAAAATCACTGGAAAAATCAACTTTGGCGTTAAAATCATCACCCAAGGAGCAGGAATTGTCCCGAGCTGCTCCTCAGGTGGGGCTGGAATCGCTCGGAATTTTCCAAGGAGGTCCCCGTTGACCCTTGGATGATTCCAAGGAATCTTTGGGAATCTTTGCCCGAAGCGGAACTTTTTGGGATTTATGGAGGTGAAACCCCGGATTTTCCCCTTTTCTGGGCTGGGTTGGTGGAGCTGGAATTGTCCCAAACTTTCCCAGGGTTTTTGTTTTTTTGGAGGCTGAGGGATCATCTCAGTCATTCCCAAGATTTCTTCCCACCCCGCTGGATCCATGTCCCACCCTCCGGTGCCAGATCCTCCTCTGGGGGACAGAGGACGGGATTTTGTCCCCAAAAATGGGGCTGGGGGGGAAACATCTCCAAGCTTCTTCCATCACCCCCCGATCCCTGAGCCGTGGGATGTCCCAGCCCAGACAAAAGTCCAGAAAAATCCCAAAGATGTGGGATTTTAGAGGCACAAATCCCACCTGGAATTCCCATGGCCAGGCTGGATTTCTCCATGGATTTCTCCACCAGTTCAACCCCCAGGTCCCAAAAGGAAAATTTTCAACCTGGAAATGGCCAAGAAAAGCCAAAAAATCCCCCCCAAAACCCCCGATTTTCCAGCCCAGACAAAAACCCAGAAAAATCCCAAAGACGTGGTCTCCAGGATATGGAATTTAATGTGAAACAAGTATTTGGGAAATCCAAAACCAACCCCAAACCGTCCCTCGCAGAGAGTACCAAATGCCATGAGAACAAGAAAATGATCCCCCAGAATTCCAGGGAAGCCCGGGAAGGGCTCGGATTGGGCCTCCCCACAGGTTTTGGGATGAGGGGGAGGAGGATTTCCAGATTAGTGACCCCAAACTGAACCGTCCCGGTGACTCCGTTCCCTCGCGCGCCCGCGGTTTTCCCGCGCCCGGAGGATTTCGGGATCCCCGTCTGGATCTTGGTCCCGTGGTGGTGGAAGGTGAGGACGTGACCGCAGGCGCCACCCGCGCGCTCCTCAAGCCACCGTGAGCAGGAGGAAGAGGAGGACGAGGTGTCCCAGGGCCACCAGGGCGCTGGGCGTGGCGCAGGCCGCGGGTGAGGAGGATGAGGAGGATTCATCTGGAGGCAGATCCAGGAGCTCCAGGATGGTCCCCAAATCCCCCCCCCCCCAAACCCACGGGAGGAGGGAAAAGGGATCCCCCACCCTCGGACCCACTTTGGGATTGGGATCTGCTCCCAGGGATCATTAAGGGGGCGCAGGGACCCCCTGAGCCCTCCCAGACTGATTTTTGGGGTTCAGAGACCCCCCAATGCACCATGGGGTCATTTTTGGAGTTCAGGGACCTCCAGAGCCCCTCTGGGCTCAGTTTTGGGGTTCAGGGATCTTCCAACACCACAGTGGAGTCAATTTTGGGGTGGAATCCAAAACCAGGACAAAGGAACGGCCTCGAGCTGTGCCAGGGGAGGGAAATTTGGGGGAATTCCTCCTGGAAATGGGGAAAAGGCCTTGGAAGGGGCTCAGGGAGGTTTGGGGTGTCCATCCCTGGAGGTGCCCGAGGAACCCCTGGAGATCCCCCCGGGTGGTCAGGAGGAGTCAGTCCCACATTGGACCGATGACCTCGGAGCTCCTTCCCAACCCCAACAATGCTACGGGATCGCTCTGAAAGTCCCCCCAAAGATCCCCCCCAGACCCCTCAGGGGACACCCCAAAGCCCAGGCCCGCCCTGCCCGTACCTGTCCAGGTGCAGGGCCGCCGGAAGGTCAGCGAGGCGGTGCTGGAGGACACGCGGTTGCTGACCTTGCACACGTAGGTTCCCACCGCGGGGTTGATGGAGACCTCCAGGACGGGGCCCTCCTTCACCAGGGGCTTCTGGGGCGCGATCCACTCGTAGGTGACCCCTTGGAGGGCCACGGAGCAGCTCAGGGTGGTGTTGCACACCTGGGGGTCACCGTTGGTGGTGGCCGTCACGCGCGGCTTCGGGACCAGGTCTGCAGGAGAGGCCAGGGAGGCACAAAGTCCCCCCGGAGCTCTGGGATGGTGTCCAGGATGTCACGATGCCCCCGTGAGGGTTTTGGACAACCAGAAAGTCACAAAGTCCCCCCGGAGCTCTGGGACGGTGTCCAGGATGTCACGATGCCCCCATGAGGTCTCTGGGACAATCCCCAGGACACCACAACGTCCCCAACACCCCCATGGGGCTCTGGGACAATCCCCAGGATGTCATAACGTCCCCAATGACCCCACAGGGCTCTGGGACCATCCCCAGGATGTCATAACGTCCTCCTGGGGCTCTGGGACCATCCCCAGGACACCACAACATCCCCAACGCCCCCATGGGGCTTTGGGACAATCCCCAGGATGTCATAATGTCCTCATGGGGCTCTGGGACAATGCCCAGGCCATCACAACGTCCCCAACATCCTCCTGGAGCTCTGGGACAATCCCCAGGACACCACAATGTCCCTAAACCCCCATGGGGCTCTGGGACAGTCCCCAGGATGTCATAACGTCCTCATGGGGCTCTGGGACAATGTCCCCGTGAGGTTCTTGGACAACCAGGGTGTCTCAATGTCCCCAGCCCACCCATGGAGCTCTGGGACGATTCCCTGTCCCCAGACTCATGGTAGACCTTCAGCTGGACTTCCTGGAGCTCTGGGACAATCCCCAGGATGTCATAATGTCCCCAATCCCCCCATGGGGCTCTGGGACCATCCCCAGGATGTCATAACGTCCTCCTGGGGCTCTGGGACAATGCCCAGGCCATCACAACATCCCCAACATCCTCCTGGAGCTCTGGGACAATGCCCAGGCCACCACAATGTCCCCAACGCCCCTCCTGGGGCTCTGGGACAATCCCCAGGCCACCACAACGTCCCCAACGCCCCCTGGGACAATTCCCTGTCCCCAAATTCACCATAGACCTCAGCTGGACCTCCTGGGGCTCTGGGACAATGCCCAGGCCATCACAACATCCCCAACACCCATCCTGGAGCTCTGGGACAATGCCCAGGCCATCACAACGTCCCCAACGCCCCTCCTGGGGCTCTGGGACAATGCCCAGGCCATCACAACATCCCCAGTCCCCCCGTGGGGCTCTGGGACACTGCCCAGGCCATCACAACGTCCCCAACGCCCCCCGGGACAATCCCCTGTCCCCAGACTCACCATAGACGCTCAGCAGGACCCTCTGGACGCTCTCCCTGCCCGTGTCGTCCTCCAGGTACAGCTGGTACTCGCCGCTGTCCTCGAGGCTCAGGTTGCTCATTCTGAGGGCTCCGTCCTCCTGGAGCTCCAGGCGCCCCTCGAAGCGTCTCTGGGGGTACCTGGGCTGCTCCCCCCTCTTCTGGATGGCGATCCTCAGCTGGTTTTGCCAGCGCCAGTGGATTTGGGAGTATTTTGAGGGATTTTGGGGCCTTTGGGGGTTCAGAAACGCCACCCCGCCCACGGCTCCAGTCACCTCCAAGCGTTGGGGCTCTTGTGCCTGGGCTGCCAAAAAAAAACGGGGATGGTGGAGTTGGGTTGCTCATCCTTCCCCAGGTCTCATCCCACTTGGAATTCCAGACACGTTCAAAAAGCAAATAAATATTAAAAATTAAATTCAAACAGCTCCGCCCTTTCTGGAGCCCTTTGCATGCAGAGGGGGCAGGACCAGCATTTTGAATTTTCCCACCCCAAATTCCCAAAAATTTCCGGTTTTTTGTGACTCCACGTGGGACAGTCCATCCCCGCAGGGCGTGGTGGCTCCCGTGGGGAGGGACCCGGTGGTGGCACCTTGTGGGGACAGGACGGGTTCAGGCCAGAGTCCCCAAAGCCACGTGCCCTGCCCAGCCCCTCATCCGGCCCCCCCGTACCTGGCGCGATGAAGAGGAGGGAGAGGAGGAAGAAGAGGTTCAGCTCCTGCCCTGGCGCCATCTTCTGTCACCAGTGTCACCTCAACGAGGGTTGGGACACGGCTGCACCCAGGGTGGGACCCTCCTCAAGGTGGGACCCCCCTGCTCCCCAAGGAGCCCCAGGGCTGGAACGTCCCAGGAACCCCCCGGAACCCAGGGCTTGAAGGGGAACGGGGAGATCTCGTCATGGAGCTTCCTGTTCCCCTTCCGGACCCGAAACCCACACTCTGCATGGTGACAAGATGTCACAAGGGTGTCACACACAGCCCCTGAGACTGCCAGGGACACAGCGCCCCGTGGATCCCCCAAATCTGCACCGCAGTGACCCCAAAGCCCCTCCAATCCTCAACAAAACCTACCCAGATCCCCCCAAAATCCATCAAATCCTCAACTAAAACCATCTGGGACCCCTCAAAATCCCTCAAATCTCCTCCAAAACCCACCCAGACTCCCCAAATCCCTCAAATCTCCTCCAGAACCCACCCAGACTCCCCAAATCCCTCAAATCACCCTAAAAGATACCTAGACTCCCCCAAATGCCTCAAGTCTCCCCAGATCCATCCAGGACCCCCCCATTGTCCCGATGGCCAGTGGGACACCGACCCCAAGGGTCACTGTGAGTGACCAGAGTGACCCCAAGGCCTGGGGGCAGCCAGGAGGGGATTTGGGATCTGCCAGGGGGGAATTGGGATCTGAGCCCAGGGAATGGGGCAGGACAAGAGGGAACGGCCTCGATCAGTGCCAGGGCTGGAAATTTGGGATGATTTTTCCATGGAAAAAAGGGTTGGGAAGGCTGGGCCCCATCCCTGGAGGTGTCCGAGGAATTCCTGGACATTCCACTGGATGGACACCAGATGGACACTGGATGGACACCAGATGGACACGGGATGGACACGGGATGGACACCAGATGGACACCGGACGGACACTGGATGGACACGGGATGGACACGGGATGGACACGGGATGGACACCAGATGGACACCGGATGGACACCGGATGGACACCAGATGGACACTGGATGGACACTGGATGGACACCGGATGGACACTGGATGGATACCGGACGGACACTGGATGGACACGGGATGGACACGGGATGGACACCGACTGACCCCTGTCTGGCCAGGTGGGCTCGACCCCAGCTCCCTGCCGGGATCCTCCCCCATCCCCAAACCATCCCCGCGGGATCTCCCGGGGCCGCCGAGGAGGGGCCGGAATCCCAGAATCCCAGAATCCCAGAATCCCAGAATCCCAGAATCCCTGAATCCCAGGATTCCAGATTCCCAGAATCCCAGAATCCCGGAATCCCGGAATCACAGGATCCCAGAATCCCAGGATTCCAGAATCCCAGAATCTCAGAATCCCAGGATCCCAGAATCTCAGAATTCCAGAATCCCAGAATCTCAGAATCCCAGGATTCCAGAATCCCAGGATCCCAGAATCCCAGAATCCCAGAATCACAGAATCACAGAATCCCAGGATCCCAGAATCCCAGAGTCCCTGAATTCCAGATTCCCAGAATTCCAGAATCCCAGAATCCCTGAATCCCAGGATTCCAGAATCCCAGAATCCCAGAATCCCAGAATCTCAGAATCCCATAATCCCAGAATCCCAGGATTCCAGAATCCCAGAATCCCGGAATCCCAGAATCTCAGAATCCCAGGATCCCAGAATCCCAGGATCCCAGAATCTCAGAATCCCAGAATCCCAGGATTCCAGAATCTCAGAATCCCAGGATCCCAGAATCCCAGAATCCCAGGATCCCAGAATTCCCGAATCCCAGGATTCCAGGATCCCAGGATCCCAGAATTCCTGAATCCCAGGATTCCAGGATCCCAGAATCCCAGAATCTCAGAATCCCAGCCCGGCTTCCTCCCTTCCCCCCCGCCCCGGCCACACTCGGCGCCTTTGTCCCCTCGCTGTCCCCTCTTTGTCCCCTCTTTGTCCCCTCGCTGTCCCCTCTCTGTCCCCTCGCTGTCCCCTCGCTCTCCCCCGGCTGGGGACAAACGGCCCTCGGCGCCTTCCCACGGGCGGGGGGCGGCGACCGAAGGGGGAACAAAGCGGAACAAAGGGGGACAAAGGGGACAAAGGGGGACAAAGAGGGACAAAGGGGACAAAGGGACCCCCGCCACCCCCGCTGCGCCCTGACCCACTTGGGGCCGGCCCGGGGCTGTCCCCGTCCCCGCCGGTGTCGCCTCGCCAAAAGCGAGAGAGGAGGAACGGGGATTGGAGGGCTGCAAATTAACGCCGGTATGCAAATGAGGGTCATTAGAATGAATTAGTGCGCCCCGACGGAGGCATCAGCGCTCGTCCTTTGGGATGAGGAGGGGCTGGAGCTGCTCCGGGGGGGGATTTTGGGATGGATTTCAGGGAAAATTCTGGATTTTGGGGTGGCTCGGATGCTCTTTTCCAACCGGGATTTTCCACGATTCCACGAGATGTCACCCAGGCATTCCCAGCGCCTTTTCCAAAGGGTTTTTCACGCTTTTCATCAATCCTGAGCTTTTCCCACCCAATCCCGCACCCACCCGTCCGTCAGCGCCGGCTTCCACAAGCAGGACAAGCGTTGGGATCACCCCAAGACGCCGGGGAAAACCGGGAATGCCGCAATTCCCTAAATTCCCTCCCGGTAAATGATCCCAATTAACGCCCGGTAAATGATCCCAATTAACGCCCGGGAGCGGTCACGAGGGTTTTTGGAATGAGGGAGGGGAGGCGCCACCCCTTTGGATCGCGATCCCAAGGAAAATCGCGATCCCGGGATCACCTCTCCCACTGCTTCCCCACACGGAATTCCAGCCCAGAATTCCAATTCCCGAAAAAAATTCCGGCTCCCTCCCTGCGCCCGAGGTGTAATTCAGGCTCTAATCAGCCAGTTAATTAATTAAACGAGTTTATTGTGCAGCTCAGCTGTATTTGCACCAGTTAAAAAAAAAAAAAGATAATAAAAGAAAAGAATTTCCAAATTTCCAAACCCTTAAAAACCCCACAGAATTCCCACCCCGGCCCAATCCCAAATCCATCCCTTCCGGAGTTTTCCATCCCCAAATCTTCGCTCCAAGGCGCAGCTGGGGGTTGAATCTTGGGGGGAAAAACCCCGAATTTCTGGATATTCCTGTTCCATGGATCCCAGTGGCCGCTGGAGTTTCCAGGAGGAGAATTCCACGGGGAATGGGAATTCCGGGGTTTCGGGGGCGCTGGTGGACGGCGGGGTTTGGGAAGCGCCCGTGACCCCCGTCATCCTGCAAGGAAACGGGCGGGATTTGGGGCATTTTGGGGACTTTTTTTGGATTCCAGAACTCCCAGATTTCGGGGTTCCAAGGGCTGGTTTGGCGTCAGAACCCCCAAATTTGGGATCGTGCCCCGGCATTGCTGACAAACCTTGCCGGGAACTCTCCCTCCACCAGCAGCCGAAGCCCACGAGGAGCAGGGTCAGCCCCTCGGCCACGGCCACGACCAGCGGCCTCCAGTGGCTGGAATTCCCTGGAATGGCTGGAAAAGAATCCCAGAATCCTGGAACTGGGCTGGCGTTTGTGGTTCCCTTCCCACTCAAACCAGCCCAGGATTCCGTCAGTCTCTAAATTGATATTTTTGCCTTATATAGAATAAAAAAAAATATAAATAATTATGGATTAGGGAAATAAAAATAAGTTTCTATTATATATATATTATGTATATTATATATAATGTATTTAATACATAAAACAAGCATATTTATATATAAAAATAACTATCCATTATATATAAAAATAACTATCCATTATATATAAAATAACTATCCATTATATATAAAAAATAAGTATACATTATATATAAAAGCATATTATATAAATATCTATTATATATACTTATATCTTCTATAGATATAAATGGATTTTATGTACTTAACTATAGATTTTACACATACACATTTAGAATACATACAAAAATTACGTATATTACATGCAAAACGTATGTAATATACAAAATAAAAGACACAAAATAAAATAAATTTAAAATTATATAATTTACACCTCCATAAACGATTTTTACCTAATATTTTTCAGCACTAAAAGCACTGCTTGTGTCCCTGGCGGCCCCGGGAGCCGCGGGGAGCTCACCTGGGCAGGTGAGGGCGGCGCGGGCCGCGCTCCACCCCGCGGGGTTGCTGACGTTGCAGAGGCAGATTTGGGGTTCCGCGCCCTCGGGGAGGCTCCGGAGCAGCCGGGAGGGGCTCCCCGGGATCGGCCCCGGGATCGGCCCCGGGATCGGCCCCGGGATCGGCCCCGGGCCAGCCCCGGCACAGGCCCAGCTGTAGGAGACGTTCCCGGGGCTGGAGCAGAGCAGGGCCAGGCGGCACCAGCCCCGCTCCCGCTCCAGGATTTGGGATCTCAGCTCCGGCTGCGGGACGGGGTCTGCGGGGACAGCGGGGCTGAGAGGGGACACGGGGACACGGGGACAGCGGGGCTGAGAGGGGACACGGGGACACAGGGGGACAGGGGGACACGGGACAGGGGGACACGGGGACAGGGGTGTTGCAGTGTGTCGCCATTTCCTGTCTCACCTATCCCAACCCCCTCAAGGATGCCAACCTTCCCCCTGCCCCTGTGCCCTCCTGCCTGGCACCTTCCAGCAAGGTGTGGTGTGATTGGCAGCTGCCCCCCAGGTCTGGGCTCATTGGTTTGCCCTGGCGTCCACATCCCCTGAGCCTTCCCCTGCCCACACCTGGTTGGCGCTCACCTGTCCGTCCCCTCCCGCTGTCCCCGGGGCTTTAAAAAGACACGAGACCATGCGGTCGGGGTCTCTGCCGTGTCTCTGCCGTGGTCCTGTCTCTGTCTGTCGGTCTGGAGCTGATACCACATTCAGAGGTCTACCATGCTACAATAAACTCTGGATCTAAGCTACACGGCAGAACCCACTCCTTTTCTCTTCACCGTTGCCTGAACCTTTTCTACCAAAGGTAAACTGAGTTCCTATTTTGCCTGGACTTGTTCTGAGCGCCCAGCTGCAGCACCCAGCCAGCCAAAGGCATCTCTGGGGTGAAAAACGCCACAGCTGCCGCCTTTGGTCCAGCAGCGAGGCCAGACGAAGCCAGGCAGGACACACCCCGAAACATTCGGGGATTAATATTTAATACAGGGGGACACGGGGACACAGAGGGACAGGGGACCCATCCACTCACCCCACACGGACACTCGGAAGCACCGGGCTGAACTCTCTGGGCTGCTCTCAAACTCGGCCCAGTAGAGCCCGTTATCATCCCTGTGAACCGGGGAGATGCACAGGGAGAGGTTCCCCCGATGGAATTTCACTCTCCCATGGAAAGGACCTTTGGGATAGGAGGCATCTCCGTCCCTGGGGGCTGTCAGGATCTTCTGGAATGATCCTGAATTAATTTCCCATTTCCAGTGGATCTCTGTCCAGTTCGGCGGGGTTTGCTCCGGCACCAGGCACAGCGATCCTCCCACGGTCACATCTCGATTTTCGCATTCCGAGAATCCTGAACCAGAGCCCGGGAAGTCGCGACTTTCAGGCAAACTCCACATCCCAGGAAGGGGAACCGGCCCCGCGTCAGGGCCCGGCCCGGCTCGGCTCTCGCCGGCCAAGGGGGGGCTGAGAGAAGCGAGGAGAATCCCCCAAAGCCGCATCCGCAGCCGCTCTCCATGCCCCGGGCCCCTCTGGCCAGCGCCGCTCCGGCTGCTCCCCGCGATTCCCCAATTCCCCGCGATTCCCCAATTCCCCGCCATTCCCCAATTCCCCGCCATTCCCCAGTTCCCCGCCATTCCCCAATTCCCCGCCATTCCCCAATTCCCCGCCATTCCCCAATTCCCCGCCATTCCCCAATTCCCCGCGATTCCCCAATTCCCCGCAGCGCCCCCGGGCCCCCCGCGCCCCCTCCTCACCTCGGCTCCCGGCCAGGCCCAGCAGCAGCGCCAGCAGCGCGGGGGGACAGCGGCGACCCCCGCGCGGGGACATCTCGGAGCGGAGCGGGGACCCCTCGGGGCTGCGAGCGCCCGCCGGGGACTTCCTCTGCCCCGGCTCCTTCCTCCTCCTCCTCCTCCTCCTCCTCCGGGGGGGGCTGGCACCCCCGGCCGCCCCTGTGGCAGAGGGGACAAGGACGCGTCGGGGCTGCGGCGCTCGCAGCCCCAAAGCTCGGAGGGAATTCCTTTGGATGGCCCCGGGAGGGCAATTTTGGGGTTTTTGGGGGGTTTTGCTTTCCCTTTGCAGCGAGCGCCGGGGACACTTGGGGACATCGCGATGGCTCCGCTGTGCCCAGCTCGGGCAGCCCAGCAGCAGCAGGACCGGGAGCTTTGGGGAGGAATGTCCAACCCCAAAATGCTCTTTCCAACCCCAAAATCCCGGCTCCAGCCCCAAAAATCCTCCTCGTTCCAGCCCCAAAAATCCTCCTCATTCCAACCCCAAAATCCTTCCCATTCCAACCCCAAAATCCTCCTGGTTCCAGCCCCAAAATCCTTCCCGTTCCACCTCCAAAATCCATCTCATTCCAACCCCAAAATCCTTCCCATTCCAGCCCCAAAATCCTCCCGGTTCCAGCCCCTAAATCCTCCTTGTTCCAGCCCCTAAATCCTCCTCGTTCCAGCCCCCAAATCCCCTTTCCAGCCCCAAAATCTTGTCCTTAAGGTCCCTTCCACCCCAGACCAGTCTGGGTCAGCAGCTCCCAGTTCCTCACTGGGGCAGAGGAGCCAGGGTGTTTTTTAGGATTTTAAAATCCATTTTTAAAGAACGTTTTTGAACATTTTTAGAACATTTTTTAATCTGCTCCAGCTCACTTCCCTCTCACCCCAAAATTTCGCCACGACCGTCTTCACGTGACCTTCCCTGAATGATCCTGACTGGGAAAGTGATGTTTCCCAAAATTGTCATTGTCCCATGTTTGGGGGTGGCTTTTGGGGGGACAGAGGGGACTGGAGCGGCTCCTTTATGGCCAAGGCTGAGGGAACCGGGGCCGGTCCCACGGGGCACCTGAGCCATTTGTCCCACACGGACACAGTGACACTCTTGGTCCACCATTATCTTTCCATGGAAAACTCAGCGGTTTTTGGTTTTGTCAACACCTGAAGTTTCCATTTTTGAAGTGTGAATTGCTTCTCCTTGATGTGCCACTGTCGCCACAGCCACTTCCTCCCAGAAAGCACTGAAAAGTCGCGCAGGCGCTCTTCCTCTTCCTCTTCATCGTGCGCAGTTTTGGGTGCTGGAGCCTCGAAATCTGCTCAGTTTCCGGACACCCATGGACGTGTTTTGGATGCCTCATCTCGCCATCCTCGTGCTCCTCCACCAAACCAGTGAGTGCCGGGTGCTCCTTGTCCCCTGGGAAGGAGATCTTGGGGTGGTTTTGGGGTTTTTGGAGTCGAGGGACGGTTGGGACCAGCAGAGCAGCTCCATGGGGTGGATTTGTGCCCAACGTTGGGATCCAGGGCTGCCATGGAGCTCCTGATGCCATGGAAACCTGCTGGGAGAGGGCTGGGGTCCGTCTCTGGGGTCCATCTCGGGTGTCCATCTCTTGTGCCCATCTCTAATGTCCATCTCTTTGTCCCCATCTCTTTGTCCCCATCTCTGGGGTCCATCTCTGGTGCCCATCTCTGGCCAGCTGCTGCCCAGGAGCTCCTGGCAGAGGTTATTCCATGGATTCACCATCCCTGGAGTGACCAAGGCCAGGATGGAGCCAGCTGGGACACTGGAAGGTTCTGGGAGGTGGAACGGGATCATTTTAAGTTCCCTCCCAACCCAAACCTCTCCAGAATTCCAGGATTCTCCTCCAAGGAGCAGCTCCAGGAGCTCCCTGTCCTGCTGGAGTCCCTGAGCTGGGAGTTTGGTGCTCAGAGCGAACCTTCCCAACCTTTCCAAGCCCTCTCCAACCTTCTCCCTTCCATTTTCACCTCCAGGCTCCGTCCTCGCTCCCCTTTACACGTGCCCGGCGCTCCTTGTCCCTTGGGAAGGAGTTCAAAGGGGGCTTTGGGGTGAATCTGGGGACCCCACGAGGGTGGGGACGTGTGGGGTCGGCTCCAGAGGAGGAGGATTGGGCAACCATGGGGAAAAATGGGGCAACCATGGGGAAAAATGGGACAACCAGGGGGAAAAATGGGACAACCAGGGGAAAAGAGTCCCTGGACTCTCTTCTGGCCATGGGAACCCTCTGAAGAGAGGTGATGAGATCCATGTCTGTGTCCATCTCTGTGTCCACCTCTGGTCCAGCCTCTGCTCCAGATGTTCTCCACACACCCTGCTCTGCCTTCAGCTCCTGCTCCTCTCCACGTTGCCTCCCGGTTTTTGGAGGTCTCATCCTGGGGTGTTTCTTGGCTTAAATGAAGGGAATTGGGCAAGGTTCAGCCCCAGCCCTTCCCCACAGCCTCTGAGGGGGGTTTGTCACGTAAACCATTTTCCTGTGGTTTTGTTATTCCTGCAGTTTATCTTCACCTGCAGCTTTTTCCTGCCATGTGCTCCTCTGTCCGTGTCCCGGGGGTGCCTGAGGCTGAGGGAGGCAGAAATTCCGAGCCCGACCTCGGGGCTGGGGCAGGATCAGTTCCCTGTTAGAAAAACTGAGAAGGAGAACTCCATTCCCAGTATAAACTGTATAACATGGTGAATTGGAAATGGGAAGTCACGAAAATAACAAAAACAACTCCTTCCTCCTTGAATTGGTGACCCAAGGCCGTGCTGTGGTCACTGGAGGGAAGGGATGGGTCCAGAGGGATCCTGGACCTTCTCCTGGGCTGCATCCAAAGGAGCGTGGGAGGGTTCTCATCTCTGGAATGCTGAGATCCCACCTGGAATGCTGAGATCCCACCTGGAATGCTGAGATCCCACCAGGTCTGGTGCCCCCAACACGAGAAGTTCATGGAGCTGTTGGGGCGAGTCCGCGGTTTCCAGGTTCCCTTCCCGGGGCCACGGGCAGTGCTCAGCCTGGAGGAGCCGTGGTGGAGCTGCCCCACGCAGCCCTGGCAGTGCCCAGGGCCAGGCTGTCTCCAGCTCCTCCTCATTCTCCTTTCCCTCTCAGTTCCTCTCCAGCCTCCCTGGCGCGAGGCTGCTCACGAGGCTGCGGGGGCTCGGCCTGGGGGTGGCCTCGCGCTCTTCCCTCACCCAGGGACCCTTCCATGAGCCCCCCATGAGCCCCCAAACAGCCCCAGCCCGGATGGGCTTCATCCTCTGGGTTCAGCCGCTTCATCCTCTGGGTTCAGCCGCTTCATCCTCTGGGTTCAGTGACTTCATCCTCTGGGTTCAGTGACTTCATCCTCTGGGTTCAGTGACTTCATCCTCTGGGTTCAGCCGCTTCGTCCTCTGGGTTCAGTGACTTCATCCTCTGGGTTCAGTGACTTCATCCCAACTTGATCCCAGCTTGATCCCAGCTTTTCATCCCACTTTCATTTCCCCTTTTCTTCCCATCTTCAGCCCATCTTCATCCCGTCTCCAGCCCATGCTCAGCACTCCTTCACCCCACCTTCATCCCACCTCCATCCCACCCCCATCTCATGTTCCCTCCCCATTTTCTCTCCCCAGTGAGCGCCAGCGACCCCAAGGAGGTGATCGGGGTCCTGGGCGGGTCTGTGACCTTCCACATCCAAAGTGCACATGGAAGGACAGCACTCTGGTTTTTTGGGAATGAAGCCATAGTGTCTGTGGCATTTAAGAATCCTCGCCAAGTCATATTTCATAAAGACAAATTCGAAACCCGTTTTGCCGTTTCTGAGAACGGCCTCGCGCTCACCATCTCCCAGCTGAGGATGGAGGATGCCGGGACCTACTCTGTAACCATTGGGGATAAAAGATCCACCTTCACCCTGCGGGTGTTCGGTAAGTGCTGTTTTGGGGGTGCTTTCAGTGCTGTTTTGGGGGTGCTTTCAGTGCTGTTTTGGGGATGCTTTCAGTGCTGTTTGGGGGTGCTTTCAGTGCTGTTTTGGGGGGTTTCACACTAAAGGAGAGGTTTGTGACCCCCCTGTGCCCCGCAGAGGAGCTGGCAGAGCCCACGGTGACCTGCGAGGCCCAGAACTGCTCGGGCGGGAGCTGCAGCTCCTCCCTGCACTGCTCCGCGCCCGGCGCCGGCCTCGGGAACGTCTCCTACACCTGGAGGGTGGGGGATCGCACGTGGGACGGGAGCTCCGTGGTGCTGCTGGTGAACGAAACAGCCCAGGAGGAGCCGGAGCCGCTGACGTGCACGGCCCAGAACCCCGTCAGCAGCAGGAACGTCACCATCACCAACCCCGGGGTGCTCTGCGCAGGTGAGAGCCGGGGACAGGCGGGGAAAGGTGGGGTGGGCTGATCCTGATCCCTGAGAGCAGGAAAAGCTGGGATTTGGGGATGGGCTGGGCTGATCTTGATCCCTGAGAGCAGGAAAAGCTGGGATTTGGGGTTGGGATGGGCTGATCCTGATCCCTGAGAGCCATGGGAACATTGGGATTTGGGGATGGGATGGGCTGATCCTGATCCCTGAGAGCAGGAAAAGCTGGGATTTGGGGATGGGCTGGGCTGATCCTGATCCCTGAGAGCCATGGGAACATTGGGATTTGGGGATGGGCTGATCCTGATCCCTGAGAGCAGGAAAAGCTGGGATTTGGGGATGGGCTGATCCTGATCCCTGAGAGCAGGAAAAGCTGGGATTTGGGGATGGGCTGATCCTGATCCCTGAGAGCAGGAAAAGCTGGGATTTGGGGATGGGCTGATCCTGATCCCTGAGAGCAGGAAATCTGGGATTTGGGGATGGGCTGGGCTGATCCTGATCCCTGACAGCAGGAAATCTGGGATTTGGGGATGGGATGGGCTGATCCCTGAGAGCAGGAAAAGCTGGGATTTGGGGATGGGCTGGGCTGATCCCGCTCCCCTGAGAGCCATGGGAACATTGGGATTTGGGGTTGGGATGGGATGGAAGTGTTGGGGTTGGGGTGGGCTGATCCCGATCCCCTGAGGAACACGGGAGGGTTGGGGTTGGGATGGGATGGGATGGGATAGGAATGGGAATGTTGAGGTTGGGATGGGCTGATCCCAATCCTCTGACAGCCATGGGAACATCGGGATTTGGAGATGGGATGGGATGGAACACTGAGGTTGGGATGGGATGGGATGGGATGGGATTGGGATGGGAAGGGAATGTTGAGGTTGGGATGGGCTGATCCCCCTCCCCTGAGATCTTCTGCATCTTCTCCCTTTTCCAGGCGCCCTCTCCAGCAGCCAGGTCGGGCTCAGGAGCGGGTTCTTTGTCTTGGCCGGGATTTTAGCTGCGGCGTTTTTGTTGATTTTCTTCATGCTCTTGTGGAAATCCAAAGGTGAGCGTGGAAAACCATCCCTGGAGCCTGGGGAGCAGGAGGTGGGACCTGGGATGGGGGATGGAGCCAGGGTGGGGCTGATTTGGGGCGGATTTGGGGCGGATTTGGGGTGGATTTGGGGTGGATTTGGGGTGGATTTGGGGTGGATTTGGGGCGGATTTGGGGTGGATTTGGAGTGGATTTGGGGTGGATTTGGGGTGGATTTGGGGTGAATTTGGGGCGGATTTGGGGCGGATTTGGGGCAGATTTGGGGCGGATTTGGGGCGGATTTGGAGCAGATTTTGGGTGGATTTGGGGTGGATTTGGGGCAGATTTGGGTAGATTTGGGGCGGATTTGTGGTTCTGATTCTGTCGCATCTCCCCCAGGCTGGGAGAAATTCCGCCTCCCCCAGTTGAAGCCTGCGGACACAGGTGGGGTTTTGGGGCAGTTCCCTGCCCTTTTTCCTGGTGGGAATATCCAGGGAATTGCATTCAGGATCAGGGGAACCACCCCTGGTGCTGTGGTTTGGGATCGGAGCTGGTGGGGAGTGGGAAGGGCTGATCCCAGGGGATGATCCCAGATTCCCCAAATCCCATTTTCCTTCCATTTTTTTTTGCCGGAAAACTTCATCCCGTACCACCAAGGGGGAGCTGGGAGCGCAGCCGTGGGATCATGGAGAAAAAGAGGGAATTTGGGGAAAAGTAAAATACAATAAGAGACATTTTGGGGGGAAAGCCAGGAATTCCACTTGGGAACTCAGTCCAGACAAGAATTCCAGAATCCCCAAGGTTGGAAAATCCCTCCAGGACCACTGAGTCCAAGCTGTGTTCAATCCCCACCTCCTCACCCGGGAATTCCAATGGGAAGTTTATCCCAAAAATGGGATTTTGAGGGGTTTAAACCCCCCTTTCCCAGCTCTGTTCCATGAGCAATGAGGGGACCACATGGAGGAGAAACAAACGGAATTTGTCCTCCAAAAAAGCAGCCGGGAATTTGGGATTCAAGCCGAATTTAAAGGCGGATTTTCCCTGTCCTTGGTGCTGGAAGCTCATCCCGACCCCACAGCTCCAGGAGGGTGGGATGAGGAGCAATTCCCACCTCCAGCACCCCCGAGGGGCTTCGGGGTCGAGGTTTTGCCCAAGCCTGGACTCCTGAGGTTGGGATTCCCGCATTCCCTGCATCCCAAATCCCCAAATTCCCGGTTTTTTCCCCCATTTGCAGGGGCCACAAACGACTACGCAACCGTGTACGCCGAGGTGGGGCCTTCCCAGCAGGTGAGTCCGGGCTTGGGGACACCTTGGGGACACCCCGGGGACACCCTGGGGACAGCTGGGCAATCCTTGGCTCCTTTTGAGAATTCCCAGTGGGAAGTGCCACAGCTGGAGGTGGCCCAAGGGCACCCGAACTTGCCCAAAACTCCATGCCCAGCCCCAGAATCTCGGTGTTGGAGGGATCAGAGAAAAACGCGGGTTTTAGGGCTTAAAATCGTCCCATTCTGTGGGTGGGGACGCTTCCCACGGTCCCAGGATGGTCCAACCTGGCCTTGGGATGGGGCAACACCTCCAGAGGCGGCTCTTTGTGGGGTTTCTGGATTTGGGATCATTTTTCCAGCTTTTAAAATTTAATTTTTTTTTTTTTTTAATTTTAAAACTTTTAAAAGCCTCTTCCCCAGTGTGTCCCTGATGGAGCCAAAGCCAAACCAGCGGAAGGGGGACCCCCCTCAACCATTTATTCCCTGGTCAAGCGTCCAGACCAGGTGAGCCCGGGCTGGGGGACGGGCACAGAGGGGTCCAGAGCCTTAAACCAAACCCTGGATCTCCCCCCGAGGCTGGGATCAGCCCCCAGGACCCCAAACCAAGCTTGTGTCCGTCTGTCCTTGCAGGTGGGTGGTGGGACAGCAGAAAATGCCACCGTGACCGGCCTGGAGCTGGTCTAGAAGGACCCAGAACTGGTCTAAAGAACAAGAGACTGATTTAAAGGACTGGAAAAGGTTAAAGAACATGAAACTGGTTTAAAGAACATGAAACTGGTTTAAAAGACATGGAGCTGGTTTAAGAACATGAAACAGGTTTAAAAACCCTGGAAGTAATTTAAAGATTTATTTTAATGAGTATAGACCTGGTTTACAAGAAACAGAACTGATTTAGAATAAGCTGGAACTGGTTTAAAAACCCTGGAACTGGTTTAAAAGACCTGGAGCTGGTTTAATAACATGAAACAGGTTTAAAAAACCTGGAAGTGGTTTAAAGATTTATTTTAGTCAGTATAGACCTGGTTTACAAGAAACAGAACCGATTTAGAATAAGCTGGAACTGGTTTAAAAGATCTGGAACTGGTTTAAAAGATCTGGAACTGGTTTAAAGGACCTGGAAGTGGTTTAAAGGATCTGGAAGTGGTTTAAAGGATCTGGAACTGGTTTAAAGGACCTGGAGCTGGTTTCCAGTGGTCTCCAGTCCCTGGTCAGAGAGGACCCCACAAGGCGGCCCCAGAACAGCTCCAACATCGCCGATGCCGCTCCAGAGCTGGACCTCATGGATCTCCCCCTCCTGGAATCTCCCCTTCCCCTTCCCCATCCCTGCTGCCTCAGTTTCCCTCTCTTTGGGATTTCAGGGAGGATTTTGGGGACTTTCTCCATGGTTTTGGCAGCTCTGTGGGATTCAGGCTCCTTTTCCCACCCTCTCCCACTGGAATTCAGCACCAAAACTCTGCCAAAGCTGCCGGGACTCCCAGGCAGGCTGGAGGAGACTCTTCAAAGGGTTTTTCCATGGGATCCCAGAATTCCTGAGGGTGGAAAAGCCCTCCAGGACCGTCAGTCCCAATCCTGGTAACCTGGACCCACGTCCTGGAGGTTCTTTGGAGACCTCCAGGGATGGCTCTAAACCAGCGTCTTATTTTGCACAGAAAACCCATTTGTTAAAACAGCTAGCTCAGGGAACCTTTGCGAATTACTGTTTTTCAAATGGCTAATTGTATAAATAAAAAGTTGCTTTTTGGTAATTTCATTTTCTCTCTCTATCTCCTGCGGTATTTTGAGCCTTGCAAAAACTTCAACTTCTCGCAGGGCCAAAAACCACCAAAAATAAACCCCAGGAAGTTAAAAGAGAACAAGAAGTGATGCCCCCCCCGCTGTCAGAGCTCGTGTGGTTTCGGCACCTGCTCCCTTTCTCCGCCTCCGGAACGTTCTAAATTTCACAGCCCCCAGCCCCCAAGAGAACCTCGGCCCCACCAATCCCTGCAGGGCCAGGGTTCGGGATTTGGGATCTGGGGTTTGGGGTGGACCTGAGTTGGTTTGGAACGACAGGAGGCTGCTAAGGAAGGCAGGAGCCTCCCCTGGGATGGAGAATGTGAACCCTGCCCACCCCTCCGGATTGCTGTAAATGTGAAATTAAGGGGATTTCAGGCAAAAATATGGGAGCAGGAAATAGCAGTTCTTTGATAGGGAAAGGAAAAAAATAAATAAAAGGATAAAATAAAGAATGCAGTGAACCAAACCAACACTGCCAGAGTCAGAACCCAGCCTGACACCCTGTGGGTCAGGGTGTGGGCAGCAGAACCATTGGAATTGTGGCCCAGCCCTCCTGCAGTGCCAGGGGTGGTTCTGCTGGAGCAGGGATCCTGCAGAGAAGGATGGATTCATTCTGCCTCTGGAGATCCAGGGGAAGGAGAGGCAGCTGCTGTTCCTCTGGGAATCCCGTGCAGAAGCCGTGCTGGTGTCTCCAAACCTCTGGATTATATCTGGGTAGGAATGCTTGGCTGGTGTCCCAGAATCTCCAGATTCTATCCAGGTAGGAATGCTTGGCTGGTGTCCCAGAATCCCCAGATTATATCCGGGTAGGAATGCTTGGCTGGTGTCCCAGAACCTCTGGATTATATCCAGGTAGGAATGCTTGGCTGGTGTCCCAGAATCTCCAGATCATATCCGGGTAGGAATGCTTGGCTGGTGTCCCAGAATCTCCAGATCATATCCGGGTAGGAATGCTTGGCTGGTGTCCCAGAATCTCCAGATCATATCCAGGCAGGAATGCTTGGCTGGTGTTCCAGAACCTCCAGATTATATCCAGGTAGGAATGCTTGGCTGGTGTTCCAGAATCACCGGATTATATCCGGCTAGGAATGCTTGGCTCCTCCCCCTGGGCTCCCATCTGCCAATGGGATGCTGCAGTTCTTATCAGCCATGCAGGGACATTCCATGGCTGTTATCAGCAGCGTCCCCTCCCCAGGGAGGTGTGAGTGTGTCACTCAGAGAGAGAGATAAGGCAAACTGCCCGCTTGGCAAAGGTGATCTGCCATGCAGGTGGGAATGGAAAACATCTCGCGTTGCGGCCCAGAACACAAATCCATTGGATTTCTCCATGGAATGGAGAAATGATTCTATGGGACGGAGGAGCAATCCCACGGCAAGGAGAAACGGATCCGTGGATCGGAGAAATGATCCAAGGATGGAGAGATGATCCATGGATGGAGGGATGATCCATGGATTGCAGCAATGATCCATGGATTGGAGAAATGATCCATGGATGGAGGGATGATCCATGGGATGGAGAGATGATCTATGGTGTGGAGAGATGATCCATGGATGGAGAGATGATCCATGGATTGGAGCAATGATCCATGGATGGAGAGATGATCCATGGATTGCAGCAATGATCCATGGATGGAGGGATGATCCATGGGATGGAGAGATGATCCATGGGATGGAGAGATGATCCATGGATCGGGGAGATGATCCATGGATGGGGAGATGATCCATGGATGGGAGCGATGATCCATGGGATGGAGGGATGATCCATGGATTGCAGCAATGATCCATGGATGGAGAGATGATCCATGGATGGAGAGATGATCTATGGATTGGAGCAATGATCCATGGATGGAGAGATGATCCATGGATTGGAGCAATGATCCATGGATGGAGGGATGATCCATGGGATGGAGAGATGATCCATGGATTGATGATCCATGGATAGAGAGATGATCCATGGATGGAGAGATGATCCATGGATGGAGAGATGGTCCATGGATGGAGAGATGATCCATGGATTGGAGAGATGATCCATGGATAGAGAGATGATCCATGGATTGATGATCCATGGATAGAGAGATGATCCATGGATGGAGAGATGATCCATGGATTGGAGCAATGATCCATGGATGGAGAGATGATCCATGGATCGGAGAGATGATCCATGGATCAGAGAGATGATCCATGGATAGAGAGATGATCCATGGATTGCAGCAATGATCCATGGATGGAGAGATGATCCATGGATTGATGATCCATGGATTGGAGAAATGATCCATGGATGGAGAGATGATCCATGGATGGAGAGATGATCCATGGATTGATGATCCATGGATAGAGAGATGATCCATGGATGGAGAGATGATCCATGGATGGAGAGATGATCCATGGATTGCAGCAATGATCCATGGATGGAGAGATGATCCATGGATGGAGAGATGATCCATGGATTGATGATCCATGGATGGAGGGATGATCCATGGGATGGAGAGATGATCTATGGATTGGAGCAATGATCCATGGATGGAGAGATGATCCATGGGATGGAGAGATGATCCATGGATGGAGGGATGATCCATGGATTGGAGAGATGATCCATGGATGGAGAGATGATCCATGGATTGGGGAGATGATCCATGGATGGAGGGATGATCCATGGGATGGAGAGATGATCTATGGTGTGGAGAGATGATCCATGGATGGAGAGATGATCCATGGATTGCAGCAATGATCCATGGATTGATGATCCATGGATGGAGAGATGATCCATGGGATGGAGAGATGATCCATGGGATGGAGAGATGATCTATGGTGTGGAGAGATGATCCATGGATTGATGATCCATGGATGGAGAGATGATCCATGGATTGCAGCAATGATCCATGGATGGAGAGATGATCCATGGATTGATGATCCATGGATAGAGAGATGATCCATGGATGGATTGATGATCCATGGTGTGGAGGAAGGACCTCAGGGATGTTTTTTACCGGTTCCTCCCCCGATTTCACCACCTTTCCTCAGCAACCGCCGCTTCCTCTCCTGAAAGGGGAAGGGAGGCGGCTCCGAGGGGCCGGGCAGGGCAGGATGGGCCCGAGAGGCTTTGGGGGGCTCTGCCTCGCCCTGCTCTGCTCCGGGGCCGGTGAGTGGGGCCGGGGGGCTCGGGGCGCGGGGCCGCAGCGAGGATGAGGAGGACGAGGAAGAGGAAGGGGCTGAAGGCAGCAGGTGCAGCTCAGGGAGGTCTCTGGAGGGCTTTTCCTGGGGGTTAAGCTCGGGTTTGGGCTGAGCCAGGCTTTGCTGAGCCCGGGTTGTGTTCCCAAGAGGGTTTTGGGGTCTTCTGAGCTGTCCCAGCTCCCCAGATCCATCCCAGCCCACTCCAGCAGAGCATCAGGAGAGGCTTTTGGACCGTTTTGGGTTGGTTTTGTTGGTTTTAATCTCGTCAGGGCCACAAATGGGACTTGGATGATCCTGGTGGGTCCTTCCACCTCACATCCCCCAATTCCATGCCCCAAACTGGGATATTTTGGGGTATTTTGGGGTATTTTATAATTCCCTGCCGGTGGCAGAACCCCAAAACCTCCTGGGTTTCGGAACAGCCTCGGCTTAGCCCCAGCCCCCATTTTCCACTGTGAAAACGTGACAGATTTGGGGTTTTGGTTGTCGGGGGCGAGGTGTGAACCCCACAGGATGTGGGGCCGCTGCTCCGCTCGAGCTCAGCCCCCTTGGAGACTTGTGGGACCTCCTGAGCCGGAAAAACCCACCTGGATCATCCAACCCAGCCCCAAAATCCAAAAATCCCCAAAATCCCAAATCCCCAAATCCCCAAAAAATCCCAAAATCCTGCCCATTGTCTGGGAGTGTTTTCCACACCCTCCTGGAGGTTTTGGGGTTGGGATCATTCCCTGGGGAGCTGTTCCAGGGCCCAGAAACCTTCTGGGGGCAGAATTTCCGGGATTCCATCCCGAATCCCACCTGGAACATTCCCGGCTGCTCCTGGGGTCCCGTCCCCTCTCCCTCAGAATTCCCAGGATTTCCCTCCCTCTCCTCTTTCCCAAAATTTCCTTTTGGGGCCCCTCCTGACCTTTCACCCTCTGGTGCTGTCCCCAGACCCTGTCCCACGTCCCCTGAGGGGACATTGGGGCGGACATTCCCGTTCCTGACCCCCGGATTTGGGGGAGAACGGGACAAATCCCAAATCCCACAAATCCCCAGCTCTCAGCTTCCAGGAAGAGGAGTCGGGGAACGGGAACGGCACCGAGGAGACCCCGGAGGGGACACGGGACCCCCTGGAGCCACCAGGACACCCCAGCACGGCCGCCGGGGACGGGGACACGGCGACAACGTGGCCGAGGGTCACCACGAGCCCTCCCGGGAGCCTCGGGGACCTGGCGGTGACACCGGCGGGGAACCAAAGCCGTGAGCTCCGGGGAAAGGGAGGAGGTGGCACTGTCCCCAGGGAGGTGGCACTGTCCCCAGGGAGGTGGCACTGTCCCCAGGGTCGTGGCACTGTCCCCAGGGAGGTGGCACTGTCACCAGGGGTTTGTCACCATTGTGGAGAGGTGGCACTGTCCCCAGGGAGGTGGCTCTGTCCCTGGGGATGTAGCATTGTCCCCAGGCACGTGGCACTGTTCCCAGAGACATGGCACTGTCACCAGGGATGTGGCACTGTCCCCAAGGATGTGACATTGTCCCCAGGGGTTTGTCACCATTGTGGAGAGGTGGCACTGTCCCCAGGGGTTTGTCACCATCGTGGGGAGATGGCATTGTCCCCATGGATGTGGCACTGTCCCCCATGGATGTGGCATTGTCCCCAGGGAGGTGGCACTGTCCCCAGGGACATGGCATTGTACCAAGGGATGTGGCATTGTCCCCAGGGAGGTGGCACTGTCCCCTGGGGTTTGCCACCATCAATGGGACATGGCATTGTCCCCAGGGACATGGCGTTGTACCCAGGGAGGTGGCACTGTCCCAATGGGATTT